CATGTAAATAAGTAGATGAGAATGAAAGGAATTTTAAATTTTTAAATAGCAGTATCATTCTATTCTTTGAACTTTTGTGTCATACATACAGCAAAAATTACATGGTGATCTATCATAAATGATCAACTTGGTTATTTTTTGGCTAATGTATTTATGAGGTACAGGCTAAATTTCTGTAACAAAGAATTGAGATAAAAAGATGCAGCAGCCTAAACAAAACAGAATTTTATTTCTCTCTCACATAAGAGTCCTGGGTGGTCTAGGATAGGTAGGATACTTTGCTCCATGAGGTTTTCTAGGAAGGAAATTCCTTCCTCTTTCTGCTGTTGCTTTCCCATTCCTTAAAATATTGCCCTCAGCTGAATGGCTGAAGCCAGTTCACTTAGCTCTCTAACTACATTTCAACCTGTAGGAACTGGAAAAGAGAAAAAGGATGAGTATTTAATCATTTTGCTGTACAACAAACCACCCAAACCATGGTGGCTTAAAACAATAATCATTCATTAGCTCACAATTCTGTGTTTGGGCAATGTGGGCTGGGGTCAGCTGGGTCCTCTACTGGTCTTACCTGGGCTACTTTTTATCTGTAGTCAGCTGGAGATAGGCTGGGTGCTAATTGGTTGTAGATGGCCTCACTCACATGGCTGATGCTTGGCTGACGGGGCAAACTTGTGTCACATGTCTCTAGCATCTAACAGGCCAGCCTGATCTTTGTCACGGAGTGGCTGGGTTGCAAATGCAGAAAAGGAGGGCAAAACTCCACGCATAAGCACTTTCAAGACTCTGCTTGTACCATATTTGCTAATAGCCCATTAGCTAAACCAAGAGTCAATCTGCTGAGTGGAGTGGCAAAGTCACATTGCAAAGGGGTATGTATACCCTCATAGGAGGAATTTGTGGCAGTTTGTTTTGGCAATCTACTACAAACAAGATCTGAAATAGCACATACTACTTCCCTTTATCTGCCATTGCCAAAAACTTAGCCACAAAGGAACACCCCATCTACAAAGAGAGGCTAGCTAGGCGGACATGTTCTCTAGTAAAACTCAGTGGAGGTGGGCAGGAGGGTTTATTCAAAAGGGAGACGTGGGGGAACTGGACACTGGAGGAAAACAGCTGTCTATCCCATAGATAACAATTCCATTTGCTATTTCTTCAATTTCTTAGAAGCAAAGAATTAGAAACCACTTGATTTAAGAAAGGATCTTTTACTTTCAGCACACCACATTTCAGATTGTCCCTCTGGTTCCCTGGAAATAAATGTCACCTGGGCCGGGGTGGGGTGGGGCGGGGGAAGAGGAGAATCTGCAGGGGTGCTCAACCACAGGTGCTTCTCATGCAAATCAGTGTCAGGAAGGGATACAAATCAAAGCTGAGGATCTGGAAATGAACTCATCTAATTAACTGTGCCCACATACCTTTTAGAAAATTTTAAATCCCTCCTGGGTTATGCACATTTCAGTTTTAAGGCAATTGCTTTAGAATATTTTAATTCTGATAGCCTTCTCACTTCTTATATGTTATTTTTCAGCATTTTAGTTCTGGTCTTTGTACTAAGCCCACAAATAGTTACATTTTTTATTTTGGCCTCCTGTTGTAGTTTGATGAGGTTTTTTCTTAAAATTGTCATAGTGAGAACACATACATATAAACATAGTATATAAAACACACAATGGAAGTCCCTTTAATCAGTCCCTAAACTCTTCATCTCATCCCCAAGGTAAACACTCTACATTTTGATATATTTCCTTCCAGATATGTGTGTATGTATGTGCGCATGTGTGTGTGGCACATGACCCTGTCTGTAGATAGGGATAGGGATACATACACAGATAAATACACACATATGTACATACATACATATACTGCATTAAATTTGTTTAAAGTTTTAATAAAATAAGAAACAGAATAAAGCTGTTTATTGAAAGAATAATATACTATGACCAAATGGTTTTTAATTTGTTTAGGATTGCAAGGATGTATCAGCTTTAAGAAATCTATTAACATAGATCACTATACTAAAACATCTATAAAGAAAAATCAGCCTGGCATGGTGGCTCATGTCTGCAATCTCAGCACTTTGGGAGGCTAAGGTGGGAGGATAGCTTGAGGCCAGGAGTTTGAGACCAGCCTGGGCAATATAGCAAGACACTGTCTCTACCAAAAAAAAAAATAGAAAAATTAACTGAGTGTGGTGGCACATGCCTATAGTCCTAGCTACTTGGGAGGCTGAGGCAGGAGGACCACTTGAACCCACAAGTTTGAGGCTGCAGTGAGCTATGATGATGCCACAACACTACAGCCTAGGTGACAGAGCAAGACCCTGTGTCTAAAAAAAACAAAGAAAAATCATATGGTCATTTTATAGTTGATGTTTAAAGGCCATTAATAAAACATTCAACATCCATTCCTGACACTCTTTAAACTCTTAATAAAATAGAAATAAATGTATATTCCTTAACATAATAAAACATTTCATTCCCAAAGCTAGCATAATGCTTAAGAAAATGATTGAATTAAACTCAGAAAAAAAGAGATTCATTATCACTACTATTATTTAATATTTTTCTGGAAATACTAGCCAATGCAATTAGAAGAAAGAAATCGGAGATATTAAAAAGGAAGTAATTATCATTACTTACAAATAATATGATTGCATGACTGAAAAATCCAAGAGAATCAACTGAAAAATTATTATAAACAATGATAGAATTCAGGGAAGGTAGCTGGGTATGAAATTAATATCTGGTAATCAGTAGCCTTTTACATATGAACAACAATGAAGAGTTAAAAGATATAATGAATGATATAAAGATACAAAGAAAAACCAGTTAAAAAGATACAATGGGGAAAAATGACATTTTTAATAGTGACAAAGAAGATAAATCTCTCAGAAATAAACTTACCAAGAAACGAACAAGGCCTTTATAAAAAAAACTTCCAAATGTGTCTAAGAGACACACACACACACACACACACACACCCCAAAACACAAGACTTAAAAAGTGAAAAAGAATATAATGTTCTTATATCAAAAGAATCAACATCACAAAAATTTCAATTCTCCTTAAGTTAAAATATAAATTGACTATATCACAATTTAAAAAATACCAATAGGGCTTTTTCTTGATGGTGGGTGGTGGGCGACTAGACAAGCTGATCACAAAAATCAGATAGAAAAATTAATTTATATAAAAATTCTTTTTTAGGTGGGAGGGGGGAGGAGGGGATGGGTATATTCACACCTAATGGGTGCAGTGCACACTGCCTGGGGGAGGGACACGCTTGAAGCTCCGACTCGAGTGGGGCAAAGGCAATATACATAACCTAAACATTTGTACCCCCGTAATACGCTGAAATAAAAAAATAAAAAATAAATAAAAATGTTTTCCCCTTTGAATTTTGAACCCTATAAATGTAATTACCTATTCAAAAAGTTATAAACTATAAAAAGTGTTTAAATGTATCTTAAAAACATATATACACAGAGTATTTTTTAAAATAATAATGTATTCATATACATAAATGCAATTTGCCTTTTTTGACATAATGATATATTATGGACATTCCTTCAGGCCTATATTTATAGAATTATTTCATTCTTTTTAATAATATATAATATTTTATTGTATGTATGAATCGAAATTTATTGAACCATTTCCCTACTGATGAGATTCAGGAGTTTTTTTAGTTTTGTACAGCTTGAGCTTTTGATATGGCGGTAATTTTTCTTAGGCAGGACAAGAAGATAAATACAAAAGATAAAATAATAAAAATATTGGAAGAAAATCATAACCTCAGCCCAAGGGAAACTTTCTTAAACAATACTGGAAATCCAGACAACTTGAAATAAAAGATAGAAATGTTGCTATGTTTCATTATATACAAACATAATTTTTTTTTTTTTTTTTTGAGACAGTCTCGCTCTGTCACCCTGGCTAGAATGCAGTGATGTCGTCATAGCTCACAGCAACCTCAAACTCCTGGGCTCAAGTGATCCTCTTGCCTCAGCCTCCTGAATAGTTGGGACTACAGGCACTATAGGCACGCACCACCACGCCCAGCTAATTTTTTCTATTTTTAGTAGAGACGGGGGTCTTGCTCTTACTCAGGCTGGTCTCGAACTCCTGAGCTCAAGCAA